TGCAACCCTAGGGAAGCCTCAGTCCTTTCTCGCCACAGGCAATGGGAAGTACTCACTCTTGGCAGAGCCCCCACCTCTCCTTTCCTTTTCTCCTGTGGCTTGGTGTGCTCCTTTGTCACTGGTGTCACAGGAGATCAGACCCCCACCTGGGACACCTGTATGCAGAGGCTCCTGGGTCAGCTCTGTGCTTCTGGGAGCCAAGAAAATTCTTCCTTATGCACAAAGTTCTGCACACTAATGTCTCATGTCCTGTTTGGCCCCTGGAATGGTCCTAAAGCTATGGAGGCAAGGACCCCCAAATGGAGGTACCTACAATCCCAGGGATGTCTCAGTCTGGTCTCCCCACAGGCCATGGAGAGTGCTTGCTCTTGGCACAGGGCTCCCACCTCTCCTCATCTTTGTCTTCTTAACATTGATTTTCAATCCATATTGCAAACTACAGTCCTTGACACTTTGCAGCAGATTCTTCTGGCCCTCCTCAGCTTCAGCAAGTAAGACTGTGCCATCTACATAACACAGGTTGTTGATAAGTCTTCTTCAATCCTGATGCCACATTTCTCCTTATCCTTCTAAATGATCTGTTCTGCAAACAGATTAAAAGGGTATGGAGACAAAACACATCCCTGACACACTCCTTTTCTGGTTTTGAATCACGCAGTGTTTTATTTCTCTGTTCTGACAACTGCCTCCTGGTCAAAGTATAGGTTTCACATGGGCACAATGTCAATGTTCTTGAGTTCCCATACTTCTCAAGCTCAGCTACAATTTGTTGTGATCTTCACAGTCAAATGCCTTTGCATGGCCAATGTAACACAGAAAGACATTGCTCTGGTACTTTCTTTTTTCGATCAAGATTCATCAGACATTGGCAATGATGTCCCTAGTGTCTTGGCCTCCTGTAAACTCAGCCTTTGTTTCTACCAGTTCTCTGTCAATTTACTGTTCCAGTCACTTTTGGATAATCTTCAGCAGGAACTTGCTTGCATGTGACATTAATGATATAATTCAGAAAAGATCCAAGTAAGATGAAATCATTGATGGTCTCAATCTTTTCTCCATCTATCATGATGTTGCCTATTGGTCCAGTGGTGAGGATTTTTGTGGGTGGTTTTGAAGCTCTATCTCACATACTTTGGGAATGTTGCCTGGAGAGATAGATCTCTGAGAAAGACTTAATGCTCGGAAGGGTGGAAGGACAGTGTAGAAGACAACACTGTATGAGATGGATTGACATAGTGACTGGGGTAATAGATGATGGTGTGTCTGAGAGAGTGAGATTAGCTCAGGATAGTGCAGGGTTCCAAACTATTGTGCACAGTGTCACTAGGAGTCACTTTTAACTTGATAGCATGTAACAACAACAAGAGATGCTTAAGATTTTAATTATTTTTTCTAATTAGAGTAAATGATAATAGATACAGAAGTTATGTTTTTCTCTAACTATGTCAAATATTTCAGTATTTTGATAAAAGTTTACACACACACACACACACACACACACACACACACACACACACACACTTATACAGACATGTGTAGAGTGAAGCAACGGAGACAGAGAGAGCCATTTCCCACACATCCTCAGGATTTCCAGGCTGTCATTTTTCATCAGGTCACCAGTATGTTTTCAGGTGGAATCACTTAATAGAAATCTCCTTAGCCATTAGTGGGGTATCTTTGAAAACCATAGATATTATCTCCCTATCTAAACCACAATCTATGAAGAACATATGAAGACGTGTTTATAATTCAATTGTTAGGAAGAACTATCACTGAGTTTTAGAAATGCTGGAATCATAATATCAAGTTGGCTAATTATCCAAGACAATCCATGGACAATGGGCAAGGGAAGAGAAGACTATAAAAGTCAAAAGACATAGTAAGATAGTCAAGGAGAACGAGCCCCCAGGTGAAAAAGGATGAAAAGGAAAGATGAATGGTGGCCTCAGAGGTGGTAAGCTCACCGAGGGATGCTCTCAGGAATGACTTTCATCTTTTCTAGAAAGCAATTCTGGCCAGGACTTTGGAAGTCATTTGGAAGTATTCATATTTTGGCAAAGCATCCAGGAGAATAGTATCCATATTAAACACTCTATATTAAAGAATCTTGAAATTTTCAATAGCTTTAGCCATACAATGAATTCCAGCTGTTCACAAAAACTTTCATACGCACACGTGTACACACACACACACACACACACACACACACTTTCAGCTGTTGACAAAAACTTTATTATATATGTATATCTTATACAGTATATATATGATAC